CATCGGAGGCGTCGCAGTCCACCACGAATGGGCGGTCAAAATCCGGCATCTGAAGAACGGGCCCCGCTGTGAGGGCCCCATTGTGAGGGCACCCTTGAGGGCCTCAAATGCCGCCGTCGCCTCGTCGTCCCAAGCGAAAGCGTCGCGGCTCACCAAACGCGTGAGGGGTGATGCAATGAGGCCGAACTCTCGGATAAACTTTCGGTAGTAGCCCACGAGGCCCAGAAAACCGTGAAGGGCCCGCGGCGATTGCGGCGTCGGCCAAGCGGCAATGGCCGCCACCTTGTCGGCATCCATGGCAACCCCGTCGGCTGAGATGACGTGGCTGAGGTAGGCAACAAACAGCGTCCCGAACGAGCACTTCGAGCGCTTAAGATGAAGATGGTGCGCCCGAAGCTCGTTGAAGACGATGGCGACGTGCTGAAGGTGCTCTGCCCAAGAAGCGACGTAGATAAGAATGTCATCAAAGAAAATGAGCACAAACCGATGTAGGTAGGGCCGGAGGACGTCGTTCATCAGAGTCTGGAAGGTCGTCGGGGCGTTGGAGAGACCAAAGGGCATCACCAAGAACTCGAAGTGGCCGTGATGAGTCCGAAACGGCCCGTCTTGGAGATGTTGTTTGGGTGCATGTGCACCTCGTGGTACCTCGACTGGAGATCGAGCTTGGTGAAGAAGTGCGCCCCATCCAGGAGCTCATCAACCACCGGAATAGGAAACTTGTCCTTAAGTGTGAGAGCATTAAGGGCGCGATAGTCGATGCAGAAGCGCCACGTGTCGTCCGGCTTGCGGACGAGGAGGACCGACGCGGTGAACGGCGATATGGAGATCCGGATGATGCCTGCGGCGAGCATCAGTGCGCACTACCGCTCCAACTCGTCCTTCTACAGCTGCGGGTAGCGGTAAGGACGAACGGCCACCGGTGCCGAGCCCGGCAGGAGGTGTATACGGTGGTCATAAGCCCAGGCTGGCGGGAGGCCCTGCGGCTCGGTGAAGAGGTCGTCGTGCTGCTGGAGAAGGTTATCCAACAGTGGGTGCTCGGCCTCGGAGGTAGCCGCGGCCAGTTGAAGCTGCGGCGCCACCCGTGAGGCGCCTTCAACGCCGTCCCACCTGATGCGGCGGCCCAGCCGCCAGAAGGTCATCGTCAGAGCGTCGAAGTCCCAAAGGATGGGACCGAGGGTCTGCAGAAAGTCGACGCCCAGGATGAAGTCAAAACAACCCAAGTCAATGCCCGCACAGGTGATGGAGAAGTGTTCGTCGCCGATGGTAATGGGCACATTCTGTGCAAGCCCATGACATCGGGGACGATCGCCGTTGGCCACCGTGACCCGAAGTTGCTCCCCGCCCGTCGGCTGAAGCCCTAAGCGATGCATGGTAGCCTCGGGCAGGAAATTATGGGTGGAGCCTGCTTCCACCAAGGCCACCAAGTGCTCGTCGTGGATCATCACAGGCAAAAGCATAGTCTGCTCGTTGCGGATGCCAGCGAGCGCATGGAGAGAAACCACGAGTGTCGTCACCGGGGCGGCCGCGGGTGCAGCCTTAGCAGCCGCTGGGGCGGCCGTGCGTCGGCCCCGTCAGCCAGGGTGTCCTCCTCGATGTAGTCGGCCGTCTCCAAGTAGAAGAGGCGCGGGCAGACATGGCTCGACGTATAGGGCTCGTCACAGTTAAAGCAGAGGCCCTGGCGCCACTACTCCATCTACTCCGCCGGAGAGAGCCGACGGAAGGGCCGCGTCGCGGCCGGGGTGGTAGTCGTTGGAGCGGCCGGGGTTGGCCGGCCCGGCGCCGGGGGCTGCCGGGCGGCCTGTCGGCATCCTCGAGCCGGGGCTGCCGACTGCATGGCCTGGGCGCGACACTCGAAGGCGTGGGCGTAGTACATGGTAGTCTGAAGATCCTGAGGTCCGCGAAGCTCCACGTCCACGCGGATGTGATACAGGAGGCCACCGATGAAGAGGTCGCCCCGCTGCTGCGCCGTCACGCCCGATGCGTGGCACGCCAGGGCCTGGAAGCGGTCGGCGAAGTTCTGCACCATGGAGGTGAAGGGAAGGCGGCCCAGCTCCGCCAAGCAGCTCCCGCGGACCAGAGGCCCAAAGCGGAGGAGGCAGAGCTCGCGGAAGCGCTCCCAAGGGGACATGCCACCCTCGTCCTGCTCGAGGGCGTAATACCATGTCTGTGCCGCGCCGCGGAGGTGGTAGGAGGCGAGCTAGGTACGCTTTGATGCGAGGGTGCGCTGCCCGCGAAAGAACTGGTCACACTGGTTGAGGTAGTTAAGGGGGTCCTCCGTGCCGTCATAGGTGGCGAAGTCGATTTTGGCGAACCGCGGCGGTGTCTGTGCTGGAGCGCCGTGTCAAGCTGGCTCGGAGGAGCGGAGCAGGGCGGCCGGTGACGCCTGGTCGGAGTACTCCGGGTAGTGACCCACGGAGCTGGATGGCCCGCCGAATTGCGGGAACGGGGTCGGCTGTTCGGGAGCCGTGGTGTAGACCGGTGATGGCGAAGACCCAGCCGCCCAGGCTGGTATTGGCGACGGGGAGGGCGGGAACCGGACCTGATGGATGGGCAGGCCGGCCTACGAGGGCACCCTCGAGTCGGGCAGGGGTGGCGCCGGTGGTTGCAGCGTCGGCGATGGGGGTTGGGCGGGCGCGACGAGTGTTGCGGGGCCCGTAGTGGGCCACTACAGCCAAAGAGGGGCCGCGGCTGGTGGTTGATGATGATGCAGCAGCGGCGAGGGCGGTCCGCTAGGGTGGCCCGCCTGGAACGGCAGCAGCGGGGGCCCGTGGCCT